GAAGGTGTGTCTTGGCGCTTATTTTGTTTAACTTAGGGAAAAATGTACTTTAATCTAAATTTAATTAATTATCAGCACGACCAACTGGCATGGTTAAGTTAAAAATTTACAAGTCATATCTCCGCGCCTATGGAAATATATTTTATTGGTTGATTGTTGTTGTAATGCTTCTTGGAACTAGAGGAATGCAGATAATTGAAAATTGGTGGCTTCAAGTTTGGTCAAATGCCAGCAGTACCGAGATTGTTCCATCAGTCTTCAATTTTGTTCGACGGGAGAGTTCGATTATAATTAATGGAATATTCGACGATCTTTATAAGCCACATAGTGTTGATTATTATTTAAATATATACGTGTTTATTACATTATTATCAATTGTTATTGGTGTCGTGCGTTTTATTAGTATATATTACGGATCTTTGAAAGCGTCTAAAAAGCTTTATCAAAAACTACTTCATCAAGTTATTCGTGCCCCATTAAGGTTTTTTGATACAACCCCAGTTGGAAGAATTCTTAATAGGTTCAGTAAGGATTTTGAAACAATTGATAGCTCTTTATCAGGTAAATTTATCTTAAGAGTTGTGTTTATAATTGTTTGCTGCAACTCATTTTTGTTTAAACGTTTCTCCAGGCAACCTATCATGGTTTTTGATCAATGTAAATCCATTTTATTTTGTTATACTTTTACTTGTGAATAATAATCTTGTAGCTTACATAATGTAATATCTTAGGCGCTTATGATGTTGAGCACTATAGTTGTTGTGACGGCCATTACAAGGGGTATATAAATTTTCTTTTCAATCATATCCTTAAACACATGAGCATTAAATCTAAATTTTACTCATATTAATAGAGTTTCTTGTTGCGGCGATATTTTTTGGTAAATTTAATTATATTTATTGGTTCTTATCTTGTGATATTAGAGGATAAACTTAACAATTATTTCTTTTAATTTGCTTTAACCAGGTATTATTTATGCAATTGTTGGTTTACTATACTCGAAGGCATCTCGTGAGCTTAAGAGGATGGATTCTGTGTCAAGATCCCCACTATATTCTCACTTCACTGAAACTTTGATGTAAAATCTTATTTTTATTTTTATTTTATTTTATTTATTGATTTTTTTTTATAAACTTAATAATTTTATATCATTTGTAGTGGTATAACAACGATTAGAGCTTTTAGTGCGTCAAAGCGTTTTATGCAAGATTTGCTTATCAAGTTCGTATATTACTTAAATTTTTTTTTTTTTACATATTTTACATTTAAGTTGATATCCTGTTTGTTTCCTATTTTCTATCACAGATTAGATAACAGCAATCGCCCATTCTATTATATGTGGCTATTAAATCGTTGGCTTTCGATTCGTTTCAATATTACTGGTGCATTTATTTCATTTTTAGCTGGTATTTTTATTTTGTGGAACATTGACCGAATTGATGCGGGTTTGGCTGGCTTGTCCTTATCATTTGCAATGCATTTCACTGAGCAAATAATGTGGACTGTTAGAAATTATACTTCACTTGAAATGAGTTTGAATGCTGTTGAAAGAGTATACGAGTTTTCTGAAATCCCTCAAGAAGCCCCAGCTATAATTGAACCGAGACCACCTGCTCACTGGCCACATAGTGGTGCAATAACGATACAAAACTTGGAAGTTAAATATGCTCCTGATCTAGAGCCAGTACTTCATCATATTTCATTCCATGTGGAAGGTCAAGAAAAAATTGGACTTGTTGGGCGTACTGGGTCTGGAAAGTCAACGATAACATTGGCATTGTTTCGTTTCGTGGAGCCATCAGATGGAAAAATTTTAGTTGATGGAATTGATATTTCATCAGTCGGTGTCGAAGATCTTCGATCGAGAATAACTATAATTCCTCAGGATCCTATATTATTTACTGGTAATCTCGATTTTAGAAAAAATTGTTATTCTTTGATGATCAAGTAATAATGTAATACAATGTTTTAGGTACAATACGGTCAAATCTTGACGCTTTTTCTCAATATGAGGATAGTGATATATTAGAATCTCTGATACGTGTTCATTTAATTCCTTCGATAGAAGATGAGGAGACTAACTCATCTTCAGAAGACAATATCAATGTATTTAAAAATTTGGATACACCTGTAAGTGAAGGAGGAAAAAATTTTAGTCAGGGTCAAAGGCAATTATTATGTCTGGCTCGGGCTTTGTTAAGAAGTTCAAAGATTATATTGATGGATGAAGCCACCGCGAGGTATTACTCAAACAAAATTTCATATAAAATATATAGAATGCTGATATGTTGACTCATTTATACCTTTTTCTTTATTATTAGTATTGATTTTGCAATGGATGAAAAGATTCAAAAAATGATACGGACTGAATTTGCTGACTGCACAGTACTATGTATTGCACATCGGCTACGTACTGTTATTGATTACGATAAGATTCTAGTTATTGGTACGAAATAATTCTTATTACTCTTATTAAGATTATTACTTTTCTAATCTTAAATCTTTAATATATTTCTAAGATCGAGGAAATGTAATAGAATTTGACAGGTAAGGCAAATAGTTTCAACTGTAATTGAATTTACATCACGTCATTTTATTAAAATATTTACACACACATTTATATGTCTTCAACCTAGCCCATACAATCTAATTACCGATAGCAATTCCTTATTTTACCGAATGTGTCAAAATTCCGGTGAATTTGATTTACTACAGGCGTTGGCTTTGAAGCAAAACAAGGCTAATAATACATAGCGGTCTTATGCAAGCATTTGATTGTGACAATGATGTTTATGAAATTAGTTACAAGCATTTAGAATTTTAAGGTTAAAAAAAGCTCATTTTATTATTTGAGTTGACTCAGCATGGACGTATCGAAGTCCTAATGATCACGTAGCATTTTAAAAAACAGTTAAACAGAAATCATCACAATTTAAATAATAAGGCAAACAGCCGCTTAAATATAGTTTATCATTGCTTTCAAATGTACAAATCGATTTCCATTATTCCCATTTAATAGGAATCAATTTTGCAATTGTAATATTTGTATAGGGTACAGAATTCTGAAAATAGTGATAATATATACATCGTCCCAAAATAGCAATCATTTATCTATCATAAATAAAATCAATATAGCAAATAGTACTTCAGGTTTCTTATATTCTCTTAAGCTTAAAAAATTGATCAAATAAATTACATTAATTATACCTCTCTTAATGTGTTTTTCAATCTTTTTTTTATCGGTGAGATTCACTTCACCAACAATCATTTCATTTAATAGGATCACGCAACGTTTTTGCGAACCATTTAACAGACATAACCCTGCGTGACAATTGATCAAATAATAATATATATATCTAATACATGCTAAAATGTCACGTTGCATGATGCCTATTAAATGAAATGAACGTTATTAATTCCTTTCCACCTGACATACGATATATCAGAAAGAAATTAGGAACTGAAATCAATTTACCGGTACTATAGCTATAGAGCCTACTTCCCTCTAAAGATGTTAAATCTATTCGGTTGATTATATGTAGGATTGTTATAACTTATTTGACAACGTAGAATAAATTTTGAATTCTGATTAATGTTCATATAGCATTGATACTTTTACGTTTATTTATATTAAAATAGTAATACATGTTCATCAAATTTTATACATCAAATAAAAATCAATGTTTTTTCAAATTAAAAGCCGTTATAAGTTTTTTCAAATCTTTAAACGAAGATATCTCGACAACCATCTAATAAAATTCGATGAAATTTTTTTCTCACTATCCGTTCAAATTTCTTAACAGTTTCTTTTTCTAAAAAAAAAAAAAGGAAAGGAAAAAATTGAGTACATTGTATGCATCATCGTATCCTCTTAGTCCCTAGGGCAACCTTCCCATCTAGATTGATAAATTGGTTATCTGCTTCGGAGCACATGTGTTTACACGGTACCAAGATACCGCAACGTAACTTTCACACATGCATACTAGACATGTAAAACATATCAACATATACTAATAGCATACTATATCGACGTATACATATTAGCATACTCTATGTAAAACATATCACCTGTACCCTTCTAATCAGTCCTAAGTATAACCTTATCTTCCTAGACTACTTCGGCTGTATCGGTTTCAGAACGCATGTGTCTACACGATACCGCAGCGTAACTTGCACACACACGCGCGTACTAAGCATTAATACTCAGTAAAATAATTTACCTTCTATTACAAGTAAAATCGACAAATCGTAATTAAAATATCAATAACATAAAAGAAGAGTAAATTTTAAATAAAAAAATTCCGTGGCACCGAAGTAAACTAGCTGGGTCTAGTAAGGTCGAAAGTTCATAAAAATAACAAAAGTTTTTTAACGAAAGAAATAATAAGAATAAATAAAAAAAAGTATATTCACAAATAGAAAAAGCCACTAGTCTTAACGCTACGTGAGGTTTAAATAAAAAAAGAATTAAGTTTTTTATCAAGAAATTTTTAAACGTAAGTTAAATAACGTTGATTTCTATTTTACAACCGTAGCAAGCTCAACCAATCATTTTTCAAGATCAGATGTAACGTGAAAATCAAAACAAAAAAATGGTTTAAAAAAAAAAACTGCGTTGAGGTCCAAAATTTAGCAAGGAATTTTTTAATTAATTTGTTGCACAGAATTTTTGTATTGTATTTTTTTCCGATAATACCAGTAGATAATATAAAGTTATTGCAGTATTGTATATTAAAATTTTTAAAACCATTTTGAAAAATTAAAAAATAAAGTATTCTCTCTATAACGACGATGTCTTAAAACATCTTAATTTTTTATAAATAACTAGGCAATGCATAGATAAATTTTAGGGGAATTTACACATAAAGGCCCAAAAATGAAAATAATTACGGATGAAGGCCCAAAATAAAAATTCTTACATATAACGACCCAAAATCAAAAATTATTACAAATTAGGGCCTGTCCGATCTCCGAGCTATGCTGGGCGACTAAGCCACATGACTTACATAGTGTCGGCCAGAGAAAATGGTAGCTGGATTTTTTGTTGGCTTACATATAACTTCAAAAACTGATTGCCGATAAAGTTATGATAATGATAAACATTTTTGACTTTCACTTGGCCTTCATTTTGACTTTCGTTTGACTTTCTCTTTGGCTTTCACTTTGATTCTCACTTTAATTCTCGCTTTAAATTTTCTTTCACTTTAACTTTCTTTTGCATTAACTTTCACTTTAATTTTCATTTTGGCTTTCACTATGACTTTCGCATTATCTTTCGTTTTTGACTTTGAACTTCTCTTTAACTTTATTTTGACTTTCACTTTTACTTCGAGAATTTTTGTCGCGTGAATTCACAAAAATATAACTGAAATAGACACGTGAGTTATTATTCAGCGTCTCATATTGATTCGTGTTAATTTTGCTAATATATTTAAATTAGGTATTTTTTTTTTTAAAAAAAAAAAAGACCAGTTGATTTTCAGAATCGTTTCAGTATATTATTTACTTATTCATGTTGATTTAATTAAGTACAAAGTTTTTTTAGTCATCGTTTAAATAAGCTATTTAAGTTCGTAAATATTTTAACTTTGTTTCTTATTCATTTAACTGGTGAATACAAAGGATTTTTAATGTTTAAAATAATCACAACATAGTATATCTTCCATTCGTATTAGTTATATATAAAGATCTTTTTAATCAATGTGTTAAAATTTGTAAAGTTATAAGTTTATTAGCTAGATTTATGAATAGTACATTTGGTTTTTCGTGTAAAAAATTAATTGCCATTTTGGATTTATTTTACCATTTTTTGGGCGATGACACTATATAAGTCATATAGTTAACATGGCTCGGAGATCGGACGATCCATTATTTGTAATAAATTTTTATTTTGGGCCACTATATGTAATAATTTTTATTTGGGCCTTCACCTGTAATTATTTTCATTTTTGGGCCTGTATGTATAAATTCCCCTAAATTTTAATACTGTATTTGAGAATTATCACATTTATTATCGCAGTACTGTAAATACTTTAATTCACTTCGTTCTCAGAAAAAATAATTATAAATTCATTAAATTTTTTATGCACTATAGATTATACTTATATTAAACACTTATTTGCAATTTAAATATTATTAAATTATAAATTATTTGATTAAAACTCTTTTTTGCATATTTTTTTTTAAAAAAAATTGATTTGTTTGCTTTCAGAATGTCAAGCTTGCGAATTATCTCAAAACAACACAGATCTTATTATAGTTTCAAATAGATCATAAACTTCTTTATTAATAATATAATCGTATTAATGTCTTAAGTTTTATATTCTCGAATTTAAGTTTTAGCGCCTTATGCCATGCCTATGTTATAGGCACGAAAGCGCTGGGCACTATTATTGGCATATGCAAGAATGCCAGGCGCCATTATAGGCACAGGCACAAAAATACCAGCCATTATTATGGGCATGAGTACAAAATTAAAAGGACAAGTCTTTTGAATTTCGTGATCCAAGTTTTTTTTGCCTTTGCCTATGCCTAATTTTTGTGCCTATACTCATGCCTGTGTCTAAGTTATTATGACTGTATCCAAGTTTTTGTGCCCATGCTTGTGCCAAACTTTTTGTTAGGCACAGACACGAGCCCGGATTAGCAGAGCTCTATTTGCAACTAATTTAGCCTTTTCTTTTAATAAATTTAATCCTGATTGTATGTGTATAATAATCTTTATTTTATATAACAGATTTGTTCAGACCAATGCACAACATTTCCAGGTAATGTAGCCTGTTTTTTTTTTATGCTTTTTTTTTTCAAACAACATTATTTTAAGTTGAAATTTGAAGCTCAAATTCTTAAATAATGAAAATTGGTTTAATCGTTAAATTCTGGTATTTTTACAATAGATTTTATACTCGAATTCTGACTTAATCGCACACATAACTTTGGACACACTTAATACAAACCAAATTGTATTTCAAGATCATAATATATAACATAATCAATTGCTGGTTTAATTCTTGAATTTTTTGGGCAGAAATTTCAAAAACAAAAGTTTTTTTGTCAAATGCTATAAAGAAGTTTTTCTCTTGTAATTTTGATATATAATATATTCTAATATCTAATATAAACGAATTTTTTTATATTTACATTAATATTAATATTAATTATAATGATATAAATTTATTACTTGTCGTTGTTCTAAATGTATAAGATTACTAATATACAATATTATTTACGTAGCATTATTATAAAAATTTAATTATCTTTTTGTGCACATGGATAAATTCGAATACGTATAATAAAATTAATCCTTAATTTCTGTTTTAGAATAGAAATTAATCGTATAAACCAATCCAATATATTTTAAAATTTCGAGGTATTAAGTGATTTCTATTTCTTCCCTTTGTTTATCATCTTGATTATTTTCGTATTCTTCACCGAAAATTTCCAAACTTGATATGCTTTCAAATTCTAATTCATTTAAATTATAATTTGTCACATCATTACATCTAACATAACCCTCTTCTAAATCATATTTTGTCCATTCTGTTTCCATCTCTTCTTCTATTTCTTCACATAATTCTTGTATAAAGTCAGAAATCGACCAAGGATTTAAGAAATGGTGGAGTATAACTGCAAAAAATAAACCTCTCACTTTATCTCTGCAAATAAATTCAATATCTGGATCACGTGAATATAATTCTTGACAAAAGAAATATTGAAGTTGAAGATTTTCTTTCTTCTTTTCTTCTGAATATTTCATACCATCAATGTTATCATTTCTGATCCAAGCAGGATTTTGAAAAAGGTATTCCATTGGTAATGAACCAGTACAATCCCAAGCGAGAAAGCCGGAGATAAAAACCTTGTTGTCGAAATCTCGATCAAGTAAAATTTTACTAGCAGTTATTTCAGAAGGACATAAAACAAAAGTATCATCATGACCTTTGTCATAGAAATGATCATAAAATAATTCAGCTAATTGCCTTTGAACTGGACATCGTAATTCTTTGCATTCACCACCCTGACCATCAAGAAATTTGATTTCTTTATCCAAAGCAGCTTGTAAAAAATCTCGAGTAGTTGAAAATGGACCAAAATTGGTATTTTTTGTTTCATCTCTTCCTAATAACATAAAAACGTGAAATATGCATTCACCAACAACTACTTGATCATTATCTTTTAGTTCATCTGAGTATAAACTTCCTATTTTCGGAAATCGTAAATTTTTTAATGTCATTAAAATATCTATTATTTGAATTAAGATATCTTGCTTTTCTTCAAATGTAAGATCTGGCCATTCTTCATATAATGGAATACCACGTAAATGTTTCATTATTACAAAATCAGTACCAATAGAGTTGTCTTTATCATCATTCCAATAATATATTTCAGGAGTAGGAATATCTGTATGTTTAGAGATATAGTTGACAATTGCCGCCTCACTTTGTAATCTTTTAAGAGTATAAGCTTTAGAGTACTTATGAAATTGGTTATTAGGACATGATAAACGTACAACATATTCAGAACCATCTTTCATATTTACAAGATAAGGTATTTGATTGCTTGTGGTTTGGTCTATTCTAAAGATTGATGTACAAGGTTGCATAAAAAATGCTTCAATAGATTCTCGTAAAGCCTCAAAATTAATATAATCTATATCATTTGATATAAAATCATAATGACTAATATTATCATCGTTCATATAAAATGATGATCTATCTTTGGATGATTGAAAACTACTGGTCTCAATATCATCTTTGATAGTATCATATTCCAAGTTATCAAAATGTTTTTTGTCTATTTTTGAATCTTCTTCAAAGATTTTGATATCAATAATTTCTTGATTAGTTTTAAAATTAATTTCAATATTGTTTTTTTCAAAGTTATTAAATTCCATGGTGTGTTACCAAAGGGGAATAAGTAAAAATACTGGTTTAAAAAAATTAAGGGAGAAAAAGAGAGAAATCCCGGATTTTGGATATCCGTCGTTTTATTATTATATTGAAATATCTGTACGATATACAGATTTTATTTATCAACATAATTCATTTATAATGAAAATTTTTTTTTTTTTTTTCTTATCAGAAATTATGCGAGGTAAAATAATAAACAGTATTTTGCAGGGAAAAAAATTAGTTAAATATTAATTTGTTGAATACTTTTCACTTGTAACCAATTATTTTGTATAATGTTAATTAACAATACTTGTATCACTATACTAATAAAGATTACGTTGCACGCATTTAATAATAAATAAAGTTTACAAGCAATTTTTCTCACGTGTAACGCGTCACTCCGAAACAAATATCCTAATAAAGGAGAAAAAGAAATATGATCGACAATAAAGCCATACAAAATTAATACGTATCTTAATTTTCATAAACCTGACTGGGTTGGGTCAGAAAAAAAAATTCATGTTTTTATATTTTTTCTTTAAATGAAAATAAAATTAAGGTCAAAAAATTTGATATTATAAAACCAAAGAAATTACTTTATCGGTATAAAATAATAATTACGTAAGTTACCGCTCCTGATAACAAAATTTGTTGTGCCGAATGAAATAAAATAAATTAAAATGAAGGCAAAATTTAAAACTTCATTTATCAACTTTAATGAAAAATATTTTTTATAAAAAAAAACTAATGCCTACAAAAAAAAAATCCTTGGTGCATTTCTAGGTTTTACATACAGTATTTTGTAGTCATAAATAATGTATTTAATGATGCCACTTTAAAATAAAAAACAAAAAAATGTATGAATTACTGTACTGTATATCTAACTATACTAAGAACAGAGTTTTACGAAGTGTATGGTTTACAGCTATCTTTCGTGGTGTTCGTTCACAAAATCTTGTGGCCATGCTGTTCAATGTGGCTGTTGCAGAGAATTTCGGTTTAGTCGTTTCAGCCAGACTGTGTGGCTTAAACATTATCCTTTAGATACAGTACGTACTACTACTTTGAAAATACGGAAATCAATTTGTTAAAATTCATTTTGATTATATGCAAAACTCATAAGTAGTGTTTCGATCAGTAATTCGACCAATTCGGATAGATCCGAAAATTTAAATTAGATACGAATATCCTTTAATTTTTAAACGGATAGATCCGTAATATACAAGTTACTCTCTTTATCTGTTATAGTCAAGCGATCCGTTCTATTAATAAAATTTTCTAAAAATTTACAATATCGAGAGCTCTATTAGTAAATTTACAATATCGAGAGAATTTTATATAGATTGGTTTTGAGAAAAATTTACTATAAAGAGATATAAAGAGAGTAACTTTGTATACTGTAGATTAAATTTAAAATTCCAATTAAGGTATACAACATATCAAATCAGATTTTACAATTAACAACCGGATAGGGAAAAGAGGATTCGAATTTAATTCGAATAGCCTCTGACAAATAGAATCGAAACATTAATCGGAAGAAGGTTTCATAAGACTAGGGTTGTGGGCACGGTGTCCCAGGGCATGCCTAGATGAGCATGCCTTTTTTAAAAAAAATTTACATATGTAAGCCTTTAAATAAGAAAACCCAGAGGGGCATGCCCAAAAATTTTTTCGTGCCCACAACCCTACATAAGACTATACTATCAAGATATTGATGACAATCTTTTATTTTGAGTTTTTTGAGTACAAGAAGACATCACTTTTATATAATTTTGCCAGTACGATAATGTATGATAATCCATGATTATGCGTTACTACTGTCTTTTCTCTCCCCTTTAGCAATCTTGAAAACTCGAGTAATGAAATACTGTCGTTATTTTAATGGGATGATCAAGCAAGACAGTTCCCAAAAGTGCTGTTATTGCGCAGCCGCAGTGATCAACAAAATGAATTTGGACCACAAAATTTTATAATGAAATCGTAAGCATCCCATTAAAAAATAAATACCTCTAGCGCTAGGAGGATTTTACTAAAAAAGCAGGCTTATTATCTAAAAATTTTTAAAATTAAAATTTTAGATCGCGAGTACAATGCAGGTGAAATTGTGACTGTGCCAGAAGCAGTAACATTGATATTTTTAGGGCAAAACTAGTGCTTCGATCCTATTTCAGATAGACCATCCGGATTGAATCAATCTCAGATTCTATATTAAAGCTAGCTTTTGGGTGCATCCTTAGGTCCGTTATTTAAGTTTTTTACCAATCCGAGTAAACATCTTTGATTTGGATATCTGAATTTATCTGGATTCAAGGGTCAATCCAGATAGTAGATTACGGATCTAAGCTCTAGGCAAAACATAGGCAAATTGATATTTTTACAGTTTTTAATTAGTGTCCCTCACGGAACGGTTCAAAGATCAGGATCCGAACCGGAAAACCGGTTCGGGTCCAAGAATAGACCCGTACCCAAATAGGTGAAACCCCACTTGACAATTTGAATAATTCTTTTTAACATATCGATATAGATTTAAAATCATATATATCGATATATAAAATTTCAAACAAACAATTTAGCAATTCTATTTTTGGTAAATACACGTAACTCTCAAAAAATACGTACGTAAAAATATTGTCTGATATATCCAGATATCGGCTTAACCAGAGGTATTTTCATATTAAGCATATAGGCCTAAATTTTTTTTTAAAAAAAAATGTCGTTATAACCAGCTGTCGGTTTATACAGATGTCGATACAACCAGAGTTACGTGCGATTTACTTATATCGAGTTATAAATATAAATTTATAAAGAACTGCATAAAAATCGAACAGGTTATCGTTAATTTATCTGGTATATAAAGTGAATTTATTCAGTAACGGAGACATAGGCAGCCAAAAAGTCTATTTCTAATATTATTTATTATTTTATAAATTTTTTTCTAAATCAAAACCTATTCTCATCTTCTCTATGTTTTCAACCTGAGTATTATCTGTTGCTTTGTCTTTACCTTTAGCCTTACTGAGTACTCTATCTGCTAACCTCTAGCGCTAGGAGGATTTTACTAAAAAAGCAGGCTTATTATCTAAAAATTTTTAAAATTAAAATTTTAGATCG